TGCCGATCTTTAATCGAACTCGAACCAGACTCGAACTCGTATAACGGTTCGGTTCGAGTTCGGTTCGAACTTCGAACTTTTCTTGAACTCAAGCCAAAGTCCGGTTCGAGTTCGGTTCGAATTTCGAACCGAACTCGAACTCAGGCAAAAGTCTGGTTCGGTTCAGTTCATAGGAACACTACTGGCGAGAGAAAAACTAAAACCACTTCGCGATATGATCCCCTTGGAAAAAGACCAGCAACCCGAAGTCAGACGATCGAAGATGAAAGAAAAAACAAAGATCCGGAAAAAGAAAATCATGAGATGGAAGAAGACGGCCCATTCGAATTAGCAATCGAAAATAACGAAGACAAAAAGAAGATCAGAAAGAAGAAAGGAAAAGCCGTCCTATCTGTACTTGCTTCCAAGGCAATTTCCTACGACATCGCAGAAGATTTGGCAATGATGAAAGTCAACATCACGGTCGCCCAACTAATCGAAACCTCTCCAGTCCAACGAGTAAAAATGTCTAAAGCTATGAGACGACCGATCCAGAAGAAAAACGTCAGGCGAGCTACCGGAATGGTCCTTTAGAAGATCAAAACCACTTCTGCTTGGTGTAAAGCCAAGGTTGAAACCACTATGATCAATTTGATCATTGATACCGGTGCGTCAGGATGCGTGACAACTCAGCATTTTCTCCAAACCCAGGGAATCAAGATCCAAAGAAAATTCAATGTATCAATGACTAATATCAATGATCATTCGAAACAGTCACTGGGAGCCATCAATAACTTGCCGATTGTTATTGACGGGATCGTAATTCCAACTGAAGTCGACATTACCGAAGCCCGCACATACGCTGTAGTAGTCAGCATGGACTTCTTAAATAAGATAAACGCAAAAATTGACATAAAGAAAAGTTTATTTACCTTTGATTGGGATGGACAGAGAGGAAATGTCTCCATCAAGTACATTCACGGTCAGCGCACCAATTTTACTGACGAAGATGATAAGGAAGAATCTGAGGAAGAAGATGATAGTGAAGATTCAGAAGATGAAGAATCTGAATTCGAAGAACAGAATCTGGATAAGAAATCTTACCTGATGTTCAGTATGAATGACGACTGGATCACCATCCAACCCCGAAAGAAGAAAGTTCAATTTCAACCCGAGAAAAACATAGAAATTATACTGGAAAAAAAATGGATGCTGGTTAAAACAGTCTGAAGAGAATTACAGTATATCGACGCCGAGGTTGTACCTATGCAGGTGATCAGAAGCATCAGGTACATTAACGATGTCCAAGCCTACCAAAAAGGAATAAAGATCAGATGGAAGAAATTTACCTGGGACAACTGTAGTCAACTCACTGAAAAATTCAAACAAGAAAGCGTACCGGAACAACAGTGGTCTTTCGATTGGAAGAGATCAAACAAGAAGTGTTGGTGCGACAAATGACTCTACACAGATAACCACTGATGCTGATCTTGTTATAATGACTTGGCCGATTGGATTGCCATCCAGCAATATTGACCATATCGGACAGAATTGAAAACTAAAACAAATTGAACCAAAGAGGTAGAACACGAGCTCTTCATAGCTCAGCGAACTGAAGAAAGATTTATCGACCAGGAAGAAGCTGAACGAAAAATAATCCCGACCGATCAAATTGGACAATGCGATGAATGTTCCTGATATATCGACCTATATCATAGTAAAGTGTACTTTACTAAAGATGGAACGAAAGCATTAGCCTGCAGAAATTGTATGATTAAAAATAAACTAAACCTACCAGCTTGCGCTGTCTGCAATCACCGTGATGAAGCCCGATCCATGTATATCACCAGAAGTTACGATAAGAGGTACTTCTGTACCTATGAGCACCAATGCATCTATTGGTTTGATCAAGGAGAGTGTCGAAAGAATTCTGGTACCATTCGTAAACTCCGAGAACGAGGTGCCTTGATAGAAGTATATGAGGAATACAACGAGATCGGTAAAGCTATCCTTTCCAGATACATACAGCCGGACGACCTGGACAACGAAGCTAATTACATAGAATATGAAGGATCCGAGGAAGAACGGCTGCCGAGATCTTCCAAGCTATCTATTAGCAGCTTTCTTCCAAAAGAAAAATCCAGTTGGCCCACTTGAAATCCATCAATGTCCGCTTATGCAAGGAGTGTCTCATACCCTGCAATGGAGATATTTGTACTGATTGTGTACAATCAGGTCAGAACAAAGTAATCTTTGTCAGGACTGACAAAGAAAAGGAAAAGAAAATCTTCGAAGAGGAGCCACCAGAAATCCTCACCGGAGGTGTCAAGAGAGAGATAACTCTTGGTTTCGAGGAGGAAGAGATCGAAGACTGGGAAAAATTATTTATTCAAATGGATCAGATTCTAGAAGAAATGAAAACGGATCACCAACGAAAACAACCTATCATTGTTAATGAACTCATTCAGACTTTAGAATCGACTCAACAGGTTTTCCAAAAAGGAGTTCACGACGCACAAAAGACTTTTTCTAATCTTCTCGAGTATCTACAGGCTGTAGAGAAAGAAGTCCGAAAGATAGAAGACGAATCCGATAGCGATAGCGCCTACGATACTTGTGAAGAAATTTTAGACGACTACTATTCTGAAGAAGAAGTAGTAATAGAGGAGAAGATCAATAACTATCTAAT